AGGCAATAAATATTCTCCAAGGTGCACTTAACATGGATGAATTCTTTCGTGTATCAGCATGCAAAACGGCGAAAGAAATATGGGATACCTTGGTAGAAACTCATGAAGGAACCACTGAAGTTAAAATATCAAGATTAAATACATTGAGTCAAGAATACAAACTATTCACAAAGCAGCCCCAAGAATCAATCATCGACTTGCAGAAAAGATTTGTACACTTGACAAATCATTTGAAAGCACTCTGTAAGACTTTAACTAATGATGAACTTAATCTTAAATTGCTTAGATCTTTATCCAGGGAATGGCGACCAAAAGTGACAACAATATCCGAGAAGAAGAATCTATCTACAATGACTTCCGCCACTTTGTTCGGAAAACTTCAAGAATATGAGACAGAACTTGCAAGACTTGAAAAGCATGAAATCCAAGTAAAAGATTCAAAACACATGGATCTAAATACAAGGATAAAAAATCATGATAGCAATCAAGAGGATGAATCCACTATTAGTGAAGATGATGATCTTATCAAGAAGATTGAAAAGGTTCTACGAAAAGAAAGAAAAAGGGAAGTACCAACAATGAAGGTTATATGCTTTGAATGTGGAGAAAAGGGACATGTTAAAAGTGAATGTCCTACACTTGAAAAGAAGAAGAAATATTTCAAGAGAAATAAAGATAAGAAGTCAAAGAAAGCATATATAGAATGGGAAAGTTCATCTTCCGATTCTGAAAACAATCACCGTGTTAATCTTGAATTGATGGTCTCACACCATTCCGATAGTGAAGATGACGAGGTTAGTAATGAATTTTCTCTTTTTGATAGTGATGCACAAGGAATTATAGATGAACTATTAAATGAATGCAAAATTCTGTACAAAACTATTTCATCTCAAAAGAAACAAATTTCATCATTAGAAAAAAGTGTGAGTCTATGGAAAAAGATCTCAAAGATAAAAAAACAAAAATTTAATGAGCAAAAACAGAATTTTGTATGCAAAAATTGTGAACCACTCTCTTTCCAAATTGTCCAATTAAAAAGAGTTATTGAAAGATATGACAAAGGTAAAATTGGATTGGAAGGTGTTCTTAGCCAACAAAGATATTCCAACGATAAAAGTTGACTTGGATATTCAAAGTTTTCAAAACTAAATTCTAATAAAAGTATCTTTGTTAAGGCTAGTGATCAATCATCCAAAGAGAAAGTGAACAAACCTAAAGTAGATCATCAAAACAAAACATTTCCTAAGAAGAAATCTTACCCTTCTAGATATAGAAGTAACTTTGAACCTACTTATTTTTATTGTGGTATTAAAGCCCACACACCTAATGCTTGCTATGTTAGAAAATTTATTGTGGTATTAAAGCCCACACACCTACTTATATATATATTTATGTATGTGTATGCTTGTCTCTAACTATTACAGCCCAAAGAAAGATGAAAATTCTCTATGATTCAAGGGAGAATTTTGATCAATAGGGAGTTATCAAAGATAGTTAGAGTCTTGTATAGAAGGACTAGGGTGTCTTGTCTAGAGATCTAACAATAAGGAAATCCCTTTCATGTTGAAAGGGGAATGGAGTACTCTCGGATTATGAGGGGAACTAGGATACATCTTTGTGTTCTTTACTTTTTTGCATTTACCGCTTTCATCACTAGTCATAAACCAGAAAAGAAAGAAACACATTTGTAAACTCATGCACTAAACCAGAAAAATAATATCCATCATCACTAAAACGGTAAAACTTTAAAGTACCTAATTCACCCCCCTTTTAGGGGCACTCTTATACTTACATTGATGAGGATGGTTTTGACGGTGTGGTATTTGTGAATTTTAAAACTACACTAAAATATTAGAAATTATGTGTTTAGAATTTGTAAAAAAAAATATGTACAAACTTTTGTGTGGGGATGTTATATACAATTGTTAAAAATAATAAATAGATTTAAAAATAAGAGAACCATCAAAAAATTTATAATATGGTTTAAACAAGAAAAGAATTAAAATTAAAAGGAATTGAAAATAAAAGAGATGCCTCGTATGAAAGTTATTGGCCAAAAATAAAGAAATTGCAAATAATTTTAAAGAAATTGCTTTGAAAATGAATTGTAAAAATATTTTGTGAGGAGTGTGAATTGTGAGAATTTGAGAAAATTGTGGATTAATAAGACTGTGAAAATAATAGTGTATTTATAGGGATCATTAGGTAAAAAAAATAAGAAATAAAGTTAATTGAAAAATTAGATCTTTCTTAGTCAACAAGATGACCAATCAGAAGATGAGTATATCACAACTTGACACAACTTGACCAATAAAAAATAGTTAACAGAAAAGGAATTATTTTTGGTATTTTTTATAATTTATGCACTTCTTTTTGATAAAAAGTTCATAAAATCAATTAAATAATTATTTTTGAAAAATGATTTAAAATAAAAACGAAAATTAAAATTAAAATAATAAAAATACAATTTTGTGATTTTAAAAATAGAAATAAAGTTAGTAACAAATAAAAATCTCATGATTGTTATGACTTCATGCAACAACTCTACTGGTGGCAATCCATGGCATCTTACTAAAAAATTTAGGAGTAATTATAGCAATATATATTGTTCTTATAATTTAATGCTATATGTCATAACGTTCTTGATTTTAAAAATTAGATGAATTAGAAGACTATGGTGCGATAATCTTGTGTCAATTAGATATGTACTTCCCTTAATTTAAGGTTCACTTAGTTGTTCATCTAAGACTGAGAAATTATATTTTATGGTACAATTTATTTAAGGTGCTTGTATCAAATAAAGTGATACATGAAGATCTTTAAAGGATGTATGAAAAATCATCACCGACCGGATGCTTGGATGGAGAAAGTTACATCATACCATAAGCTTTTGAATTATGTTTAAAGTATTGTCAGAAGTATAGTCTATAGGAATTCCAAAGTCTCATCATGCGGATAGATATGGAGTTATATGTACTAATGTTTTAAATATTATGTCAATGCCATAAAATATATTTCTTCAAGCACACTTGTATATATTGAATAATGATGAACTTCAACCTTACTTATCTACTCACAAAAGATTTATCAAGCAACAATATCTCCGAATAAGTGATAAGTGGTTGTTGAAAGTGCATAATAAGAATATCATAAGTTTGTTTAGTGAAAGTATTTCTAATGATGGTAGTGCACCCGATACTCTTAAATGGATGTGATACATTTCAAAATTTAATGTAGTAACTTGGACTGCATAGAACATTACTGATTTTTCCTTTTATACAAAATCAAAAGATGATCGTAGTACAAAACAAAATAGTGAGATTATGGTTGAGGCACAATCCATGTATTTCTCTAGTTCAATAAGTAATAATCTTATATAGGCATCTAGAGCGTACTTTGGGGTAACTTAAAAGATTTGGGACATTGATTATGTTTAATTCAAAATGCTTTTATTAAAATTGAAGTGGATTGGAAATAAAATTGGTTTAAAGATTATTGAGTTAGGATTCACACAGATTGATATTGGCTAGGATACTTATATGACCGAACCATTCATCAAAGTTACCCATGCGAAACAAGTGTTTTATGTGACTGACACTTCTAAAAAAAGATGGTAAATTGTTCTCCAATGAAGACACATTTCTCATTGTGACTAAAATCATGATTTAAATTCTAATATTTCTTCGACTCCTTCTTATACAACATAAAGAAGGCATATGGGAAAATTAGAAATAAATATTTTAATTTTTTATTCATGATTTATTGTATGTTATAATTATTTCACATTGCAGGTGTTTAAAGTCAAGACACCAAGAGACAATACACATTTCTTACGTCGTAGATATTATTTGATGTAATTATGTGTAAATTGTATGTTGTTTTTTGCAATTTTGGTTTTGATGTAATACAATTGTTGGTTCTAAATAGTTGCTAACTTATGGGTGTGATTCACAAATGGTTTTTGTCGTTATTTCTAGTCTATTTATGATTAACAAAAATACAGATTAAAAAATATAAATTTTTAAAATATAAAAATGGCAAAAATGACATTGTTGGTATCAAACCCATGACAATTTTGTGTATTACAACCTACAATTTTATTTATTACAATCATGATGATATGTAGAACGTTTTTCAATTTATTACCATAAAAAATAATAGTATTTCTTTTGCATGAAAATGAATTCTTAATATGTACTTTTCTCGCCCGACATTCTAACCACATCCTTTATTTGAGCAAGTAACAATATTAAAGTTTGACCTATTTCTTGTAGGGTTGTGTAATTAAGCTACTTATAGAGGGTGTTGTTTAGTTAATCACGTCAATCAAATATGTTTTGTTAATTAATATTTATACAAATTATTTATTATAGATTGAAGAAAAATATGTAACATAATTAAGAGTATCTTTGAAAAAAGATAATTAATATATTTTAAAAAGTTGAGAAGAATGTTATAAAAAGAAAAAAAAAACACTTGAGATTCTTATAATTAAAAATGAAAGTAGTATAAATATTATAAAGGATAAAAAAAGGTTATTTAAAGTTTTTTTACCAAAATATTATTGGTTTGTTATCATATTAAAGTATAACTTTGTAATATCTCTATTCATTTCTTTTTTCAAAAACCTTTAAGAGTAGATAAGGTAATTGCAACTCTTACTAGCCCTAACCAATTTATTTCTCCTTATCAATCACTCCCTCAAAAAGAAGCACACACGACAGGATTTAAATTTATCCAAATAAGACCCCTTATCATCTCACTTAAATAATTTATACTTTCATTATGTTCTATTACACTGTCTTTTGTAAAAAAAAGTAATTTAAATCACTTATAATAAAGTGTTTTTGGTTACATAATTCAAAATATAATAAAAAAATTAGTAATATATAATCGTGTAGTAATTTTCTTTTTTGATCATATCATAGTTATGAATTATTCATAAACTCATTCAATTTTAATATAGTTGAATTCATAAAATCCTTATGAACCATGCAATCTTATGGCATGATACAATTTACTTGATACATGTAAGGGATATTATTCCCACATTTTCCAGGGAGTGCAGCAGCATAGTCCGCATTGATTCCATTGATAGCAGCAGTAGCAGACATCAAAAAATCACAAATTGCACGAAGGTCGACCATGGTTTTAGCCGCATTAACTAACCCTTTAACGCCCTAACAACAGCTTGGCGAAACAACAATATCGTTCTAAAGATAACGTAGGCACGACGCAAGGCTATTGTAAACTTGTACGCATGAAACTATACCACCATTTTGTGCATACATTAAAGCCATGCACTTTATAACAACACATGCTATCTTGAAGTTTCCCATGGTAAGAAATTAAGTGATATTGGATAGAGTGAATGTTAGGTGTGAGTTTGATGCAAGGTGGTAAGGGTTTATATAGTTATTTTTGAAAAGTATTTTTAAGGTTTTTGAGTTTGGTTGTGGTTAATGTTTGATGTTGGATATGAGCTTTAGGTTTAGTCTTTAGTTATGATGTTAGGGAGAACCTCTAGACAATTTTTAAATAGACACTTCGATAGTTGATTAGATACAAGAAGGTGTTAGACACCCTTTACTCCCTTGTACTTAAGGATTCCTTTTTAAACCTTGTATTTAGAGGGAATACTTCTTTATTTTACTCCTGTTTATTTATGCCATTTATTCTATCATATATCATATACAAGAAAGAGAAAAGGGAAAATCAGTTTTTTTAGTTAGTGGAATCGCCTTGGTTTTTCAATTGTGTGCCTTCGTATCTTCGTATTTTCAATTGAGTTCGAAAATTGAGTGATGGTAGGCGGACTTTTTATATCCACGTAGACAGGAACTGGAAAATCGTTTTTTGAAAAAAATTCTTGGGTTTGATTATGTTAGTAAGAAAAAAGTTTTTTATTGGTTAGCTTCTTTAAGTCTAGTTGATTGATAAAGAGTTGATCTTTATTAGAATTAGATCGCTCTGAGTGAAGAAAATGATTTTAGTTGATAATTTTAATCTTTACCATAATTAAATCACGTGGGACGAAGAAATTTGATTTATGTATAGATTAGGTAATTACAAAGCCGTGATGCTGATTTTGGCATTAAGATCGAGAAACCCTAAAATCATGTATATAAATGATTATTTTCAGTAATTTTTGTAATTAGCCATTTATGTACAAGTTAACAATTTAATCAACTAACTAGTTTAATTAATTTAATTAGGCTACAAAATAAATTATTTAAAAGACTAGAAAATCTAATCAACCTAATAACCTTATTATTTTAATTGATTTTTTTAATTGTTTACGTATAATGATCAAATTGATTCATAAAAATAAAATTTTAACTTAATAGATGCATTATGGGAGTACAATGATATACTAAGGGTGTATAAGTTAATAAAACATTATTAGTTCAGGCCCAATTATTAAAAAAACCTAATTAATTTAAAACTAACAAAGATAAAAAAATCTGAAAATTAAAGTTAACATAGTGGGGTGGCGTGGTTCCCCTTGTAATTCCAAAATTTAAGAAATATAAAAACAACCCTATCTAATTTATTAATATTATGATAATAATACTCCATGACCTTTTCAAACCTTTTCCAATACACCACTTATAGTATTACATGTGAAATTGAAATTAATTAAAACCAAAGAGAGAGGGTTTAGTGTGGTAGATCTAGTGCGTGCGGCTAACGAATCAGAGGGACAGACGCCGTCTGCAGTGCTTCGTTGGTTGAGCGTGGTCGGGAAGTCATGGTGATGGGTTGTCCTTCGTGGTATGTGGCTAAGATTGTCGTGATTCTGGTGGAAGGCTTCTGCGTAGCGATTGAGTTATTGTTTTATTTGTGATTCTTATTTTATTTTAATCGTCTTCCTTCTCTTTTCGACAGCATCCTGAAAGCAAGTTCCCAAAAACGACAAAAGGAAGAAAAAAATAATACTACACAATTACGATGACAATGGCGATTGGTTTCTTATGGTTATCTCCTTTACGTTGGTTGTATTGATGCTAACAATGATTATGGTTGATTGCTTTGTTTGCGGTTTTGAAATTGTGTTGATTTGGTGAAGATTGTCAAGCTTGTAATCCTGTGCACAAAAGCATTGTACGGATGAAAATTTGCAGATTTTGATATATGATTTGGCTTGTGTAATTATGAAGAGCTTTGGAATTCAGTTTGAAACAATGGTGAACAACTGTTGTTGTTTTGAGATATAAATCTATAGAAAGGTTTATTCAAAAAGTTGTTTGAGATAAAAATTTATAATAGATGATGATGGTTTTGGAAATTTTAAAACTACACTAAAATATTAGAAATTATGTGTTAAGAATTTGTAGAAAAAAAATGTACAAAGCTTTGTGTGGAGATGTTATATACAATGGTTAAAAATAATAAATAGATTTAAAAATAAGAGAACCATCAAAAAATTTATCATACGGTTTAAACAACAAAAGAATTATAATTAAAATGAATTGAAATTAAAAGAGATTCCTCGTATGAAAATTATTAGCCAAAAATAATGAAATTGCAAATAATTTTAAAGAGATAGCTTTGAAAAGGACTTGTAAAAATATTTTGTGAGTAGTGTGAATTGTGAGAATTTTATAAAATTGTCGATCAATAATACTGTGAAAATGATAGTATATTTATAGTGTTAATTAGGTCAACAAAATAAGAAATAAAATTAATTGACAAATCAGATCTTTCTTGGTCAATAAGTTGAACAATCAGAGATGAGTATGTCATAAATTGACACAACTTGACCAATAAAAAATAGTTACCAGAAAATAAAATATTTTTTGTATTTATTATGATTTATGCACTCCTTTTTGATAAAAAAATGCATAAAATCAATTAAATAATTATTTAAAAAAATTGTTTTAAAATAAAAAAGAAAATTAAAATTAAAATAATAAAAATACAAATATTGTGATTTCAAAAATGGAAATAAAGTTAGTAACAAATGAAAATAAAAATATTTTTCAAAAAATAAAACAAGTAAGACTCAAACCCGTGATCTGATGCTTGCAAACCTTATCTCCTTATTAATTGTGTTGTCCAATTTATTTGAAATGAAAAGGCACTTGAAAACATATGAATGGTGGGAAAATATTTTCTATTTAGGAAATACAAAATAATTTAAAGTAAACTATTATATATTTTTAAATGAATGTCATGACTTCACGCAACAACTCTATCGGTGGCTATCCATGGCATCTTATAAAAAAATTTAGGAGTAACTATAACAATATATATTGTGCTTATTATTTAATGCTATATGTCATAAAGATCTTGATTTTAAAAAATTAGATGAATTAGAATACCATGGTGCAATAATCTTATGTCAATTGGATATGTACTTCCCTTAATCATTTTTTCATATTATGGTTCACTTTATTGTATATCTAGACTAAGAAATTAGATTTTGTGGTCCAATTTATTTAAGGTGCATGTATCCAATAAAGTTATACATAAAGATCTTTAAAGGAGGTACGAAAAATCATCACCGACCGGAAGCTTGGATGGAGAAAGTTACAACATAGAAGAAGCTTTCGAATTATGTTCAAACTATTGTCGAAAGTAGAGTCTATAGGAATTCCAAAGTGTCGTCATAATGATAGATATGTAGGTATATGTACTAAGGTTTTAAATATTATGTCAATGCCTTAGGATATAGTTCTTCAAGCACACTTGTATATATTGAATAATGATGAACTTCAACCCTACTTATCTACTCACAAAAGATTTATCAAGCAACAATATCCCCGAATAAGTGACAAGTGGTTGTTGAAAGTGCATAATAAGAATATCATAAGTTTATTTAGTGAAAGGATTTCTAATGATGGAAGTGCACCCGATACTCTCAAATGTATGTCATAGATTCCAAAATTTAATGTAGTAACTTGGACTGCATACAACATTACTAATTTTTCCTTCTATGTAAAAGCAAAAGATGATCTTAGTACAACACAAAATAGTGAGATTATGGTTGAGGCATAATCCAGAATTTCTCTAGTACAAAAAAAAAAGAATCTTATATAGGTGTTCTGTAGCGGTAAAAATGTTTAAGACTAAGCCATTAGATTGACTCGACTTACACAGATCAAAATAAAATTCGCCACCGCGCTTTATTGTTTCCAAAAGAATGGGAAAAGAGCGAGTAACCCAAAAAGAGGGGGAAAGATTCTAGGTAAGGGGGTTGGTTATGCAAAGGGAAAGTATTAGCACCCTAAACATCTACGGTACTCTGTAGGAACCTCTTTGAAAAATTTGTATATTTTTGCTATAAAATGTTGTATAAAAATTAGATGGTGGAGGTGAGAAAAGAAGTATTTTTTTATGATTTTTGCACCCGCCGCGGTTGTGAACCTTTAGTGCCTATGTACCACCTTTCGTGCAATAAGGGATCAGGGTACACATGGTTACTCTTTAAAAAATTTAAAACGCAAGTGTGTTGGTTAATTTTATGAGATAAGACATCATCGTCATTGTCCGTATGGAAAATATACTTACTACCCACATTCATGAGAAAGGAGAACTTATATCATCTTAAAGTGAAGGATATAGCTTGGTTTTTAAAATCAACAATGTCTCACTCAACACCAAAGTGGAAAATGTCTCTCTTCATTACATATTGTAGAAGTGTAGTTGTTTGCATCACTACAAGGATTGACAAGAGTCCAAGATTTTGGAGAAAAGTTTTAAAATAAAAAGCCATAGTGTCGAAATAGTTTGAAATGAGATTGATTGACTTTTAGAATTTTCTTTTTGGAATAACCAAGTATTAAATTTTTTTCCGCAAATAACCATGTTTAGGAAAAAATTACGCAAATAACCATGTTTCATAAGACTCCCCAAGGGAGGAGCCATCTCACTTGACGTCTACACCTAATTTTTAAAGGGAGGCGCCATCTCACTTGGCGCTTAGGTGCTAAGGGCTCGCCCTAAGCCAAGTGAGATGGCACCTTAGTGCATTTGGTAGGAAAATTTTTGCGTTTTTTTTTCAATGCGGCGTGTTATGTATTCGATATAGGATCAACAAAATTGACTTTTTATTTACAAAATATGATTACACACATAACTATTACATAAAAAAACAGATTAATCAGTGGTCCCCTAGAACCCGGTAATGACCCCTAGTTCCACATCCTCGTCTTCACCTTTCCCGTGTTGGGTTTCGTCGTGTTTCCTGTTGTGGCAGGGTCGATGGCCCAGCGAAGTCAATACGTTCCAAATCCATGAAATTAGTCAGATCTCCATATCTAGAAGATCTGTTTTGGTACAGTCGGTTACCCATACCCTTAAAGTTTGGTCGTGTAGGCGGTGGGTGGGGTTCCAT